TCGAGAAAGGAGAGAGGAAGCCAACATCCCCAACAAAAAAGAATAGTAATGGGACAGACCTTCCCAAAAAAGCCCCGTTGTCCATCTCCTGCCCTGGTTGGACCTGCAGGGAGTGCGACCGCTTGTTTACACAGAGAGAAGTCTTCATCGCTCACATGAAAAGAGAGCATGGGAAGGTAACATATAGCTGTTTTAGTTCTAATAGGTTCTAGAGTCTCATGAGTGAGACCCAGGGCTGTAGGACACATTATGAACCACACTGAATTCATGTACATTATTGCAGATGGATGGGCATGACTATAATGAATCCTTTTCTTTCTGCTACACCAGCAACTGAAAAAGCATCCATGTCGACAGTGTGAAAAGTCCTTCAGTTCCTCTCACAGTTTATGTAGACACAACCGAATCAAACACAAGGGCCTACGGAAAGTCTACTCATGTCCGTGAGTATCATGTGTTACTAGACCCATCAAAATTTCCATTTGCTTCATCTGTGCTTGTGAATTAAATTCCAGGCTCCTCACGTCTGCATTTTCAAGCTTAAAGGGGCCATGAACTGAGAAATCAAAATTCTTTTGACATATAAGAGGTCATTGTACTATAAAACATCCTGTATGTTTCAGAACTCAAAACTGTCTTGTTAGTCTAAAAACAGCTTACATTGAAGCCAATCTGCAAAAACGACAGGTTGTGGAATGTGCCACTTTATGACGTAATAGTGTGGCCAACACCGCCTCCACGCATGTAGTGTAAATAACGAGAGGCAACACAGGTCTATGCAGAAATCAAACATTAAAAACAGGACAGAAAATAGCCTATTGCTTCTAAATTATATTTTTGTTGTAAAAATCTTGATTACATTATAAGGGGACCTGAGGGAACAGTTCAAAACAATAAAAAAGGCAGTTCATGACCCCTTTAAGACACTTAATTTTACACTAAAGCTAATCAGAAACCGTTATGAGTGTCAAAACAGATTTCTCATGGGTTTCCTCAGACACTGCCCAGAACCCAGTCGCACTTTCACCAAAAGACTGCTGCTAGAGAAACACATTCAGTTGATGCATGGCATCAAAGACACAGAGGCCAAGCTTCCGGTAGATTCCAGCAGTGCAGAAGCCACCCCAGACAAAGAGCAGGTAACCAACAGTTGGACGAGCACGTTTGGGTCTGTATTGTCTGGTACTGTTGCGAGGGCATTAGACAGAAGTACACAAACATTCAAAAGTTTGGAGTTGGTAAGATTTTTTAAAAATGTTTTTGAGATCTTATGCTCCTCAAGGTTGCATTTATTTGGTAAAAAATACAGAAAGAAACCTGTGATATTGTGGAATATTATTATAATTTAAAATAATTGTTTTCTAATTTAATATATTTTAAAATTAAATTTATTTTTGTGATGTCAAAGCTGAATTTTCAGCACCGTTACTGCAGTGTCACATGATCACATGAATATGCAGATTTTTTTTAGGCTTCTTTGATAAACATAAGGTTAAAAAATAGCATTTATTTGAATTTTTCTGTAACATTATATAGTAGTCAACATTTGAAGTGGATCAAAAAAGTTAATCAAAGTTGTCCTAAGACCAGAATGCATTTTGGTTTTAGGACAACTTTGATTAACTTTTTTGATCCACTTCAAATGTTGACTACTATATATCTTTACTGTCACTTTTTATCAATGTAATGCATACTTCATGAATAAATGTATCAATTTCATATACTGACCAAAAACCTTTCAATGTGTGAACATGTATGCGACCTTATGAAGATGTAGTCTTTTTTAATGAGAGATATGTACATATTGTTTTTTTTGTTTTTTTTTTTCAAGACAAAATTGGATATTTAATTGAATGCTAATTACCTTTACCTTCATCTAATGCTCACTTAAATTTTATATTCAAAAACAATAACTTTATAACAATGGTAATTGTAATCTGTAATGTACAGTATAAAAAATTTTTTATTTTTTACATGGCTGGCTAACATAATACAATATATTAAATATTATTTATTTTATATTCAATTATAATGTTATATAATATCAGCCATTATCAGTTATCTGCCATAACATAAAATTTATTATCAGGTTTTTTTTTTCTTTTTTTTCATTTCGGCATTGCATAAAACATTGCCATTTTGTATCTTCAGGTCCCCAGTCCTAAACGAAAGCTCCACTCTGAAGATGAGGACGCTGAGAGGGAAGAGGAAGTAGAGGAGGCCGGAGGACAGGTGACTTCTACTCGGCAGTCCAAGAGCTCATCCTCACAGCCTTTGAAGAAGCTAAAGATCAACGTATTCAAGACACATAAATGCGCAGTGTGTAGCTTCACCACCGAAGACATCGTGCATTTCCACGAGCACATTCCCCAGCACAAGACCGACATCTCGTCCTACCAGTGCCGTGAATGCGGCCTGTGCTACACCTCGCACAACTCCCTCGCCCGACACCTGTTCATCGTGCACAAGCTGAAGGAGCCCCAAGGGCTCGGGCGACACAACGAGCAACAAGAAAACACGCCCAACCCAGACGCCAACGACGGTATCCCGGATACTCAATGTAAAGTATGTTCAAAAACATTTGAAACGGAGGGAGTCTTAAAGACACACATGCGGACACATGGAATGGCCTTCATTAAGTCCAAACGGCTGAGTGCAGCTGAGAAGTAAGAGCGAGGTAGTGCCCCCTAGTGGATGGATGTTGGTTTGCAAAGAATTATTTGTTTGTATGTTGTACGTATAGAAGCGTTTGACATCGTATTCCTCCACTCTGGCCTCTTTGTATGCTCATATGTTGTGCATACGTATGCATATATATATATATATATATATACATATATATACAAAATGTATAAATCTATACACACACAGAATGTGTGTTTAAAGATGTGTAATATATTAAAAACTGATTTATGTGTATTTAATTATCTATGAGAACACATTTTGTATACTTTATGATAGATGTTTGTATGCGTGTTGGATAGACCTTTTTTATAGATTCTTTTTATTTTCTATTTTAGACGGTTCTTGTTGTTTTCTCGTGGGAGCAGATGCTGTCCAAATGGCTGTCTCAGTCTTGGGATGCTTTTGGTCCCAGTTTCTGAACTGCTGCTAAAAAAAAAGTGCACAGAATGTCACCGTTACACTTCTCAGTGAGACATTTTGCACTCAAAAGGGACAATCAGTCCGCAACCTACAACACGAGCAGGATAGTGTCTCCTAAAGCAGCCGAAAATGGCGTTTGACTGAGGATTTGGTTGTTGAATTGAGCCTGAAAGCTTTTTATGGTGCATTTCTGTTTTGTGAATTAGTCGTCCATTTAAAAAAAACTACTATAATTTAGCACTACGGAAGAACAAGACATGAAAGTAGGTTTTTATTTATCTCAGCCACTGCCAAGAGGTCGTGTTGAATCAATGTGTGCTTTTTAACTTGAAGTGTCGTCACAGCCGGACGATTCTCCTCACTTCATTTCTTCTCAGGCAGCTTGTTCCAAATAATAACTTGTTTGTTTGGTTGCGTTTTGGATTATTACCACACTACAGTCTGTCAACTTTGGCCTGTTATCAAGAACCACATTTCGGATTCATGCACATTTAATTTTGAGGTACTTTGGAAAGCTTTTATTTGTAATTTGAATCCAAAACCATTTTGCCCTGTAGATATGTGAAAGTACAAATGAAACAAATCAGATAGGCTATGTCACTTTAGCCTGTTTTATTTCAAACCAAAGTTTCTTCCTTACATATGAACTCCAAAGTAGGACGTTCCACTCATAGTTGCGTGTTTTTGAAATCAGTAATTCATAGGTGCTGGTATACTAAAGTGTGGTCAAGTGCCTCCGGCGCTCGAAAGCCAAACGAAAGCTCTCATTTAGAGCAGCATGTTATGGAAAATCTCGAGGTTGGTGTTCCACTGACTCAGTGTGAAAAAGGGATAAAAGAGCTGCCTTCACTATAAATGAATGTTTTGGTCAAAAAGTGAAACGAGCTGTAAAATTTCTTTGCATTTTCTCCCTCTCTAACCCGTTAATTTCAGCGTTTCACTTCATGAGGAGCTCAGTACTAGTTCTCGATTTTCATTTGTCCTGGAAACTCTTCTTTTCCTTGAGGAAGCATATGTGCATGAGAGAAGCCATTCACGGTGGTTGTTCTGTTTTATAGAATGTCTTGTTGATGTTCGGTAGACTTTGTTTGTGCAAAAAACGTTATCATTAATAAATCATACATACACAAATAACTAACGTGTCTAGTGTGGTGTGGAGTTTGTGTGCTTCAATCAGCTCTCGCTTTGCCTCATTTTAATTAGCCTGAAAGCAATTTCCTTTCAGCCACTGGTCTTGGTCGCCATGGTTACAAGGAAATTTTAATAAGATTCTCAGAATAAGGGACCATTGTGAAATGCCGCGAAGTGATTGGTGCGTTCATTTTGACAAGGGTGACAGTGACTTCAAATTTGTAATTAATCACTGTAAATCCGAGGCTTTTATTAGAGAAAATATCTTTTAGAATTTTATAGAATTTCCTCTCTCTTTCCTTGTAAAAAGTGCTACATGTGAATTTTTTGCTTTAATATCTTGGCAAATATTTCTCTTTCTTAGACTTAATGGAGTTCTCACTTAGGTTTCATTGAAATATCGTCTTTGTTTCTACTGAAATGGACAGCTGTTGACATTAAAAATTAATCCGAATAGTGTAGCACAGATAATTTGGTCTTGTTTTTTAAACTTTGATATCTTGATTTGATATCATACTGTTCTGCTCAGAGCAGAGGCCACATTCACAAAGCAAATATTGTGTTGTTGAGCTGTTTATTGGCCTCCCTGAGGTAAAAGACTGACTGTGTTAGGTTTGAGTATGTGATGACCAGACTATCATCCGAGCGTGGCGTTTTGATTTCCATGGTCATTTTGGATGGTGGGAGAGTATGATGTCCCGTCATGTGTCCTGCTCTCATAATATTTAAACCAGTGAAACGGCCAAAATGAAACACTGTACAAGATGCTACGGTTAACATTGAGTGCTGTCACTCTGATGTACCTGTTGGTTTGGCACGCTGCATGTGCCTGGAACGTGTCGCTAAAATGCAAGGAGGACACAACAGCGTTCCTTACGGAATTACAGAAAGATACTCCAAGCAAATATGCAGTCTTGAGTAAGTAATAATGCCAGATTTTACTAAAGCATACTTCTAAGCGTATACATGAATGGGGGTCATGTTTTCTAGTTGTGGATTGAGGTGTAAAATTATAATTTTTGTGCCAAAGTCAAGTCATTTTTATTTAACAATATTTATAATATTTGAAACATTGTTTCCATAATTGAAACATAGTTATTTTTAATATTGTGTATATTATTATTTCATTATACTGTTTGTTTTATATATATATATATATATATATATATTTTTTTTTTTTCACTTTATCAGTTTGTTTTATTTTCCTTAATTGTATTATTTAATATTGAGTTATAATATTAGACACATAGTTTAAAATCTGAAAACCAATTATTTATATAATTTAATATTTTGTGTTTTATTATTTATTGTTTATCATTTTTTTCTTTATCTATATTATGATGTTTGTTTTTAAATATTTTCTCCATTTTATATCAGTTTATTTTTCTTAATTGTATTATTTAATATTGAGTTATACCCCCGGTTTCATATACAAGACTTAAGCCTAGTCCTAGACTAAAATGCATGTCTGGGCTATTTCAACTGAAAGAAACTTGCACTTAGTGATCTTAAAATATGTCAGATTCATTGTTTTGTCTCAAGATGCACACTAGTAATGTTTTTATCTATGGCATATTTATAAAAGTTACTTAAATGGCCTAATTTAACTGGCGAAATCCTGGCTTAACCTAAGCCCTGTCTGTGAAACAGGGCCATAGTATTAGACGCATCATTTAAAATCTAAAAAACATTTTTTATATATTTTTCATATTATGTATATTTATTGTTTTGCATTTTTTCTCTTTATTATTATGTTGTTTTTATATTTTCTCTCTTTATTTATCAGTTTATTTTATTTTCCTTAATTGTGTTGTTTAATACTGAGTTATCATGTTGGACACATCATTTAAATTCTTTTATTTAATATTTTATTTAAAATGTTATTTAATTTTATTTACTTTTCACAATATTTTATACATTTATTTATATATTTTTTAATATTATGTGTATTTATCTTTTTTTCTGTATATTTATTTTTCCTTATTAGTAACAGTAGTATTGATTTCTGAAATTTGAAAATATTAAATATCTTGGAACTATTTATTTATTTTTAATATTATGTATACTACTCTTGTATTATTATTATTATTATTATTATTATTATTATCTCTCTTTATCAATGTTTGATTTTATTTGTTTATTTATTTTATTATTTTTTTTTTTTTAACAGCGTATTTTGATGTTTTTCATTGTGATTTCATTTCTTCTATCCTGCTCCACTTGTTGTTGTAGTGTACGATGCATTTGGTAAGATTGGCAGTGATGTTGAAGGAGGGAACGTGAACAGACCTGGGTCTCTGAGAGAGTGTCTGTCTGTGGAGGGCCTGGAGTTCAGGGGACAGTACTGCCAGGTGTTCCTCAAACAGGTACCCTCACACAAACACAAAATGCACAATATATACGCCTCATTCCACTAAGAACCTGAAAACAAATCATTATTATTATTATTATTTTTTTTTTTTAGAGTAAGTTTTTCTCAAGCCAGTGTGTGTTAATCCTTAATTTCCAAATAATGCATCTATTATGATTAAATAACCAGATACTGTCTCGAATCGAAATGAAAGCGTGTTTGATGGTGATATTATTCTGCTTTGCAGGACAGTGTGGAGTATTTTGTGGGTGTTTGCGTTCCAGACTCTTGTACAGAATCAGAAGTCCAGACGCTAGTTGTTTATGGTCAGTGAAATCATTGCTACGTCACGATGTGGGAAGATTTACATAACGCCGCCCAAATGTTCACGCAAAAAAAGAAGGTGTAACTTTTATTCTCATGTAGTATTGTTGCTGCCAAAGCCGTCATGTCGTGAAGACGCTGTGTGTTTCGTTGTGAACGCGAAAACTACTTTGTTTGGCCTTCCAAAAGAGGACGATATCCGCTTCGTCATGCCTGGAGCTGATCCGTGCTGGTCGCTGAGGAAATACATCAACTTCGCGCTGTGGATCGCTGGATCGGCTTTCACCGTGGACGAAGCGGAGTCCAGCCCGGGGTCGTCACATGTGGTTGCCGCAAGCCCGCCGGACGCTCCTTCGTCGAATCCGCTGGCCATACCTATAATGTTCTTTTTAGCAACATCATATGACCCCTTTAACATTTATCTGATCCACACAAATACCCAAGTATTTAAACACTTGCACTGCCCTTAAAATGTATTTGTCATTGCATTAGAGAAATGATTGTACCTTGTATCATTTATTTGATAAGCAAAAAGTATAAATCTAAAAGTATAAATCACATTTGTTTTTGTGTCTGCAGATGCATTTGATCAGAAACAAATCTCTTTACTTCCTTCTGTGCCTTCAATCTTAATGGCGGATTCCACGCTTGGTGTATTCATGACTCAATGCCTCAGTGATTCCCCTCATGCAGACCCGTCTGCCATAGTCTGCCTGTGAGTAACACACACACATATATGTGCACAACAAGTGGGTTCAAGCCTACAATGGGTGTTTAATTAAGCAGATTCTGTTGCTCCTAGTCTGCTCATTTTACATAGTCTTTGTACATTTTTAGAAGTAGAAGTAAATTTACTTTACTTATGACACTTGTACATGCCACAGTGCTAGCTAGAGTGTTGTGTTTGTGGTTTCCATGGTGTTGCTAAGGTTGTTTTGAGACTTTTAATACAGTTGCTAGGGTGTTCTGGGTGCTTGCAAATAAGGATTTTTTTCTTTCACGATTGTTATCATAATAATGTGAAGATTCCATGGCTGAATTAGTGTTTCGTGTGTCTCAGGTTTGTGTGTTGTGCGTTATTGGCGCTTCCTCTCATAGCTTCCATCTGTGTTGCGGTATTAAAAAGGAAGCGAATGAGAGAGGAGTGGCCAGGGCTGGATTTCGCTCATACCTCAAACACCAACCAATACGGCGCTCTCTTGACTAATGGCTCAGCCAATCAGAGGAAAGAGAGCAATGCTGCCCCGGATACCACACAGACGAGGGACCAAAATGCAGAAAATGACCGGCAGAGCATCTCAAAGAGCAAGTACACACACAAAGACACATACAGACACTCATCTTACCATTTATAGCAAACGTGACTGATTTGACCCATTCTTTTCTCGCATTATTACCCGCTTTTCGCTTCCTCTCTTCCTCGTATATTTTCTTTTACAGCTGTGTCATCGTGCCTTCAGGCGCTCTCAGTACAGAATAGCAGTCAGGGGTTACTCGCCACAGAAAGCTCTGGAAGCAGTTATTCCTCTCTGAATGGCATCCGTATCCTCAGTTTACTCTGGATCATCTCAGGCCACACCATGCAGCTCAGCGCCTGGAGTAACCTGGGTGAGAGCGAGGGGAAGGGGAAGATATCAGTGTATATGCACTACTTTAATTTTAAGACATTTTGTCCATGTCTCAAACTTTCACTTGATTTGTTTCTGTGTAGATAATGATAAAAGATGGAAGGAAATGGTTGAGAGGAACCCTCTGTATGTCTTTGCCTTCAGTGGGCCAGTGTATCTAGCGGTTGACTCTTTTCTGCTGCTAGGGTAAGATACACTACATCTCATATTAGACAATATTAGAAGTCTTGAGGCCTGATCATACCAAGAATGATAACTATAAAAATAAAAAATAGTGATAACTATATTAGTGTCCACACCAAGGCACGATATCACTCTGTTTATTATAAGCACACGCTGCAATTATGTTGTCTGTCACTTTAAATGCTCGAGTTCTATAAAGTTGGGTAGATTCTGATTGACTGTCAATGTTTTTATTGTTATTTTATTAATTATTTATTTTATAAATTGAATTTTTCTAAGTAGTGCAGTAAATGATTTATTTATTTACAATTTTTAACCCTCTACCGCATGGTGTAGCCATATGGCAACATACTCTTTGTGTTCATTTCCTTGCCACTGTCTCTTTAAGAGAACATTCTCGTTTTTTTTGTTGGAAAGAGAAGACCTTAGTTTAGCCAATGATGTGCTTTGATTAAGTCACATGACATGCATTTTTTTTCTGTGGCGAGATTTCTGACAGACTGCCGTCTCTTGTCGGTAGTTGCTGAAAGCAAACTAAAACGTCAGTAACAAACAAGGACCAGTCCGTGTCACTTCTACAAAAAAATCTAAAACATCACTGTTATGATGTTATGATGACATATTCACCTCTCAAAAATCAATTATTCTGTAAGTACTGTGTTAAAGCTTATAATAGCACCAATTGAATCAACACAAACAACATTTCTGAGGAAAAATATTAATTATAAGTAAGCTTACACTTATTCTAAGTTAGATCCACTATTGTATGCTGTTGCCGTATGGCAACATATCATAAAGTACCTTAAAATAATATTTTTTTCAAAATTTTTTTTTACAGCACTTCAAGTTAAGCCATTCTTAGAAAAGAAAAAGATTCAAATATTTTTTTCTATAGGTCTATCATAATGCGTGCGGTAGAGGGTTTTAAGCTATATGACATTTAATATTCTTTTTTTTATTCATAAATAATATATTTTAAACTATAATAAACTAGTTCATTCATAAATAAAATAAAATTGTTACCATATGGCAATTCTTTAATATTTCCTCCTCATAAATTTTTCTAAGTAGTGGCATCAAATATATTCATTTATTTTTTTGGATTTGTTTTAAATAATGTAAGTATTTGTTTAAGTATTGTTTTGCTCAGAATACGTTTATTCAAATGTGTTTACATTTATTTACATAACATATGAGTGTGTGTTATGTATATTTATTATGTAAATACACACACATACAGTATATATATTGAAAATATTTACCTGTATTTACATGTATATATTTATATTCATATAATTTATATCATATATAAATACATTTAATATATAAACGTCAAATTTTTCTTAAATATATACATGCATGTGTTTGTATTTATATGTACATAATAAATATACACAGTACACACATATTATGTAAACAAAAACTTTTATTTTGGATGCGATTAATCGTGATTACAGCACTAATGAATATATTAACAATATGGATTTAATTTGAGGAAATAAAAAAAAAACATTGACCATGTTGCAAAAAATTTTATATAAATAAATAAAATGGTAAAAAAAAAGATTCCATTGTTCGTAGTTAATGTGGTTCATAAAGGGATATGTTATGGCATAATCTCCAACTTGTAAGAAGAATTGATTATTTAATATGGACAGTGTCTTGTTTGTTTGCTTGTGTCAGTGGTCTCCTGAGTGCCAGATCACTGCTGAGCTCCATCCAGAGGTCAGATAACACGCTTAGCTTCAGTCTGGTGGCTCATTTCCTCTTCAAGCGTTTCAAGCGGTTAGTTTTATCTTTACAGCTTCCAGTCAAGACGCATGTTAGTTCTACACCACAGTTTTCAGGGTTGATTTTCTGACAGTTGTTTGCCTGTAATAATTCTTGCCATGTGTCCAGGATTCAACCTCTCCACCTCTTCATCGTGTGCTTGACCATTGGACTCTTCTCCATCGTTCAGAGAGGGGTCTTCTGGTTCATAGCAGAGGATGAGGTCTACAGCTGTAAGAAATACTGGTGGTCGAACCTGCTCCTCATCAACAACCTCTTCACCATCACAGACATTGTACGTCTAGATTCATCTTTTGATTAATCTTTATTTCACTTGTGTTTCACAGCACATGTTTAAAAGTACATGGCATTATTATTATGAAAATGTTTTTTTTTTTTTTTTAAGTGTGCACCCTGGACATGGTATCTCTCCATTGACTTCCAGTTCTATGCAACAACACCTTTTCTGATATTCCTTTACAGAATGTAAGTTTAGTTCTTTTGACTGTATAATAAATACAGAATTTATTAAAAGAACATAACCACACCACTCTATATATGTTAGACGTGGATGAATTTTATCTATCTATCTATCTATCTATCTATCTATCTATCTATCTTTTTAATATTGGTGTTAAATGTGGCCATTATATTTATTTAATTTTTTGTGTCGTTATAGTAAATGCACAAATTAATTTTATTTTATTTTTTTATTTTTTTTAATGGTGATTCTCAGTAGATTCTAACACAGTAAACATATTATAATAAAGTAATAAAATAATGTCATAATAAATAGCATAAATTAGCTTTAGAACAGTAGAACGAAAAAGTTTTTACAAATTATTATTATAAAATTTTTTATCATTCAAAGGTTTGGGGTCTGTAAGATTTAGTAAAAAAGAAAAATCCTGTTTTCACCGGATATATGACATTGTGTATTAAATATTACAATTTGAAAGAACTGTTTCTTACTGTAAAATATGATAAAAATTTAATTTATTCCTGTGATGGCAAAACTTAATTTTCAATGTCACATGATCCTTCAGAATCATTTTAATATGCTGAATAAGAAATATTTATTATTATTCATGCTGAAAACAGTTGTGCTTAATATTTTTTGTGTGCTAATTTTTTTATTTATTTTTTGGAAACCATGACAGTTTTAGAAATCATTTGTAACATTATCTTACCACTGTCACTTTTGTTCAATTTAATGCATCCTTGCTTGCATTAGTATAAGAATGATATTTTTTTACATTGCAGTAATGCAATACTAAATGTCTTAATCGTTCTAAAAACAGGCTTTGTTTTCTTTAAACAAACAATGAGTTCTCATTTAATTTTTAGAATTTCTGAGTAAAATCGGAAATGTTCTTGACAGGTTTTGTGAAATTTACCAATGTCAAGGTTGCCAGTTTTTCCCAGGTCATAAACAAAACCTCTTTGCTTATTTCCAGAAACAAAAGCATGCTTGTCATTGTGTCGGTTATTCTCCTAATGATCTCCAGTGTAACAGGAGCCCTGATCACCGGTTTGCTGCATCTCCCTGTGCACCAGCCAACCACACTGTAAGAGATCATTTCTTAATTACAATGTTAAACTGAGAAAACGCTTCCAATGAGACGTAATCACACGGGCAATGCATGCATTTCTAAAACACTGTGATTAAGGCCTCTAGCAGCTGCCAAGTGCAATACCAAGGCAGTTTTAGTACCAAGAGTCTGATTTTTGTTCACTCAAATGTTACATAATTGTTTCAGATTGTTTTATTCTGTACTTGTTTCAGGGCATACGAAAGCTATTTTCTGTATTACTACAACAAACCCTACACAAGATATGGGCCGTATCTACTGGGCATTCTTGCCGGAATATACATGACAACCAAGAAAGAGGCACTTATAAAGCAACAGGCAATGTCTTTAATGCTTTTTTAATTGCTTTTTTACATCAAAAAGGAGTTTTCAGTCTCATAACAGATAATTTTTGCTATGTGACAGTGGCAGGCAGTCATAGGTTGGCTCTGCTCGCTGTCAGTCATGGCCCTCTTAGTGGGATTGGCCTATGTGCTGAGAGAGGTCCCGCCCTATCCGTCCCTAACCCATGCTGTTTATCAGGGGATGCACCGCTCACTTTGGGCCCTGGCTTTGGTCTGGATCATCCTGGCCTGCGAGGAAGGATACGGAGGTAAAAAGAAGAGCTTTGAAATCTCAGATTTTAGTAAATAATTAGGATAAATAATGGATAACACACAACTGTCAGCCAAATAAAAAATGCATATAATTGGTCTCTGTTGAAACTTATCTAAATATTTATGTCTGCACAGGGTTTGTGGATAAAATTCTGTCTTTAGGCCTGTGGGCTCCTCTGTCTAACATCAGCTTTGCCTGTTATCTGATCCACCCAATCATTATTATACTGTACAACGGCAAACAAGAGACAACCATGCACTATACAGACTTCAACTTTGTAAGTATTACCTTCAAATAAATGCAAATGAGAGTGGGCAGGACAGTGTGCATTTGATCAAAATTAGTGCTGTCAAACGATTAATCGCGATTAATCGCACCCAAAATAAAAGTTTTTGTTTACATAATATCGGTGTGTGTACTGTGTATATGTATTGTGTATGTATAAATACAAACACATGCATGTATATATTTAAGAAAAAATAGTAATGTTTATATATTAAATATATTTATATATAATATAAATTATAATAATATAAATATATAAATGTATATGCATGTAAATATTTTCTAAATATATACTGTGTGTGTGTGTATTTATATATACATAATAAATAAACACAGTACACATACATATATTATGTAAACAATTTTTTTTATTTTGGATGCGATTAATCGATTGACAGCACTAATCAAAATGGCAATATTGTGAAATATTATTACAATTTAAAATTTTAATTCATAATTTACAACCAATTTCTATTTTAAAATATTTTAAAATGTTTTTATTCCTGTGGAAAAGCTGAATGCATCATTACTTCAGTCTTCAGTGTCACATGATCCTTCAGAAACCATTCTAATATGCTGATTTGGAGCTCAAAAACACTTCTACTTATTAATATCGCTAACAATATATATGTAAAATTATTGTTTTTTTAAGCAAGTGGTTTATCATAGTAATAGGTAGTTCATCTTTCTGGATGCCATTTTTAATGATCATTTTGTCATTTTTTTCTCTCATTTTCTGTCCTCAGTTCTACCTGTTTCTGGGTCACCTGCTGTTGACAGTTTCTGTAGGTTACGTGTTAACTGTGCTAATTGAAAAGCCGTATCTCTTCCTGCCAAAACGATAAGTCCTGCTTCATTACCTCAAGACTGGAAGGTGAAGAGATGATTTAAATATATTTATATATTTCAGAGAAACAAGAAGATTTCAGTACAGTATATTTATTCATTCATTGTCCCCCATTTTCTCAATTTATTCTGTTCGAAAGCTGTAGATTGCTGTTTATGAACCATGTTAGAGGGCTTTGGTGTTGTTTTTTTGAATGCATTAAATGATTTGATGTACAGAATTAACAGATGAACGTTTATTGTTACAGTGTATGTTATGGTGCCTGTTTTTAGTAACTTACAGAGAGTAAAAATGTTTTTACTGTGATGGCATCGGATGGTAACACCATGGTACTTAATTTTACAACATCATGTTTTTGAGGTACGCAGGGATGTGCGCATATTCTGACGCAGGAACGTGAACATGAGTGCCTCAAGTGTGAGCAGCGCGTAACAATAAAACAATGACCGGACATCAGTCTCTGAAGCGACCGCATCTTAATTGCAGGAAGTGATGGATGAGTCATTTAACAATCCATAATTTTGCAGTAAAAAAAAAAATCCCAAATCATCCCATTAGACATTTCAGAACACAAAGAACGCTTTCAAGTAACAGTACTGCATAAATCCTTGTTAATCATCTTTATTTGGGATGCCGCTAAACCTTTTTTTTCCAGATGGTCTAAAGCACTGGTATTATAACGCCAGTTTGCAATATATTGTACTGTATCTCCTAAGTTCTTAAAATGTGTGGTCATAAATGCTATTACCCACCTGTGTGCATGCTGTAATCGGGCAAGTCACACAATCTTAATTATAAGAGGACAATCAACATCAAGAGGCCGATCAAGTATTCAAGAGGCCAATTAGCTATTTGACAACTTAGAAATACAGAACTACTTTAAAACTCCATGCAACTCATTTTCAGCTTTGTGTTCCACTGCAATGTAGCAAGTTAAAACTCAATTAAAGTATTGCAATAAATTCTGTTCTGTTCTGAATGGAATACTAACCTAATACCTATCAATTACTGCACAGTATATATATATATTTTTTTTTTATAGTAGGTAAAGCAGTAAGACTTAATTCACCAAAAACATAATTTTAATCAAAATTCAAATTTTTGTGTTAAAATGTGTTTTAAAAGTTGCAGGTCCAAGTAACTAGCCACAAAAAAAACCCTCTAATAGTTAATTCCTCTCAGGTAATTAAAGACCAAGTTGATTCAATTGCATTATGGGATACAGTATGCTGGTAAGTATGCTCTTTGTACTTCTGAATTTTTAGTGTGGTCTTTTGTATATGGCTCATTTTGGTAAATTTAGGAGGTCGATAGCAGGTATTCTATGCGTACAGAAAATTCACACACTGTGCATACTATATACTGTATACTGTAGTATGTAGCAGGTAGACCTATGTAAAGAATCTTAAGCTTTAAAGCGTTTCATCCAGGTCGCCAGTAGCAAACAATGGAGCGCACTCTGCTGGACAAACTAAGTAATTTTTAAGTATTTTTAAAAGCATTTTATCTGCGTTATATGTTCTGTAAAAAAAAAATTAATATCGGCGGCATATTCGCCGATACCGATATACCGGCGACAGGCTCATATCGGCCGATAATATCGGCCGGGCTCTACTGTGTATATTTATTATGTATATATAAAAACACAAACACATGCATGTATATATTTAAGAAAAATAGGGTATGTTCATATATTAAATAGATTTATATATAATATAGGAATATAAATATGTAAATGTATATACATGTAAATATTTTCTAAATATATACTGTGTGTGTGTGTATTTATATATACATAATAAATAAACACAGTACACATACATATATTATGTAAACAATTTTTTTTATTTTGGATGCGATTAATCGATTGACAGCACTAATCAAAATGGCAATATTGTGAAATATTATTACAATTTAAAATTTTAATTCATAATTTACAACCAATTTCTATTTTAAAATATTTTAAAATGTTTTTATTCCTGTGGAAAAGCTGAATGCATCATTACTTCAGTCTTCAGTGTCACATGATCCTTCAGAAACCATTCTAATATGCTGATTTGGAGCTCAAAAACACTTCTACTTATTAATATCGCTAACAATATATATGTAAAATTATTGTTTTTTTAAGCAAGTGGTTTATCATAGTAATAGGTAGTTCATCTTTCTGGATGCCATTTTTAATGATCATTTTGTCATTTTTTTCTCTCATTTTCTGTCCTCAGTTCTACCTGTTTCTGGGTCACCTGCTGTTGACAGTTTCTGTAGGTTACGTGTTAACTGTGCTAATTGAAAAGCCGTATCTCTTCCTGCCAAAACGATAAGTCCTGCTTCATTACCTCAAGACTGGAAGGTGAAGAGATGATTTAAATATATTTATATATTTCAGAGAAACAAGAAGATTTCAGTACAGTATATTTATTCATTCATTGTCCCCCATTTTCTCAATTTATTCTGTTCGAAAGCTGTAGATTGCTGTTTATGAACCATGTTAGAGGGCTTTGGTGTTGTTTTTTTGAATGCATTAAATGATTTGATGTACAGAATTAACAGATGAACGTTTATTGTTACAGTGTATGTTATGGTGCCTGTTTTTAGTAACTTACAGAGAGTAAAAATGTTTTTACTGTGATGGCATCGGATGGTAACACCATGGTACTTAATTTTACAACATCATGTTTTTGAGGTACGCAGGGATGTGCGCATATTCTGACGCAGGAACGTGAACATGAGTGCCTCAAGTGTGAGCAGCGCGTAACAATAAAACAATGACCGGACATCAGTCTCTGAAGCGACCGCATCTTAATTGCAGGAAGTGATGGATGAGTCATTTAACAATCCATAATTTTGCAGTAAAAAAAAAAATCCCAAATCATCCCATTAGACATTTCAGAACACAAAGAACGCTTTCAAGTAACAGTACTGCATAAATCCTTGTTAATCATCTTTATTTGGGATGCCGCTAAACCTTTTTTTTCCAGATGGTCTAAAGCACTGGTATTATAACGCCAGTTTGCAATATATTGTACTGTATCTCCTAAGTTCTTAAAATGTGTGGTCATAAATGCTATTACCCACCTGTGTGCATGCTGTAATCGGGCAAGTCACACAATCTTAATTATAAGAGGACAATCAACATCAAGAGGCCGATCAAGTATTCAAGAGGCCAATTAGCTATTTGACAACTTAGAAATACAGAACTACTTTAAAACTCCATGCAACTCATTTTCAGCTTTGTGTTCCACTGCAATGTAGCAAGTTAAAACTCAATTAAAGTATTGCAATAAATTCTGTTCTGTTCTGAATGGAATACTAACCTAATACCTATCAATTACTGCACAGTATATATATATATTTTTTTTTTATAGTAGGTAAAGCAGTAAGACTTAATTCACCAAAAACATAATTTTAATCAAAATTCAAATTTTTGTGTTAAAATGTGTTTTAAAAGTTGCAGGTCCAAGTAACTAGCCACAAAAAAAACCCTCTAATAGTTAATTCCTCTCAGGTAATTAAAGACCAAGTTGATTCAATTGCATTATGGGATACAGTATGCTGGTAAGTATGCTCTTTGTACTTCTGAATTTTTAGTGTGGTCTTTTGTATATGGCTCATTTTGGTAAATTTAGGAGGTCGATAGCAGGTATTCTATGCGTACAGAAAATTCACACACTGTGCATACTATATACTGTATACTGTAGTATGTAGCAGGTAGACCTATGTAAAGAATCATTCGTTTGAAATGTTTCTTCTTATGATTTGTATTCCATTCCCCCATCCGTGATCGCGAGCGCTCGCACCTCACGTTTGCGGCGGAATGCAAATGTTCATAATTGATGGACATCTATCCCCGTGAAAAGACATCAGCAATCCGGCGCAGAGAAAAGAAAAAGAAAGGGGAAAAAGTTGAAAACGAAGGCCGTGCATCACTTGCAGGCACATTCATACATTTTTTGGCTGTTGACGTTAATAACGTGTTTTAATATCGGAAATAATTTCATCATCACCAATGCATCTAATATTCCCTTACAAAAATTAGCCATGCTTTTAACACGAATAAACCCAAAAATCATTGTTCTTGTAGCCATGGTAACCACAAATTAACCATGGTTTTGTTACTTCAAATAATAATTTACAAAGAAGTAGTCCTATTAAGATAATATATATTTTTTTGTTGTGGTTAGCCTATAAAAACAGACCTATAGCCAGCAATAGCCTTGACTTAAAATGCATTATATAAAAACAATGAGGCAATAATGATTGGTTAATAACACTGTTAAAATACATAATGTAGGCTAATACAAAATAAACAATTTATGTACATTACATGCAATTACAAATGCTTGCAAAGGGAGCCAAAGACCTGGTAACTGCTGCTGCTACACTTACAGGACTTTCCTTGTTTAGGCTATTGGCCAAACATTTAATTCAATATTCACTTAATCTTTCATTTCTGGCCAGCTTTTTGCTATAGATGACACAGCCTCTATAATTTCTTCAACAAAAAACATGTGGACATCACAACCCTTACAAAAATAAACCATGTTTTTATCGTAGTAAAACTGCTTAATTTTCTTTTGCGTGATTTCTGAATGCTTGAGACTATCAAATCAATTAGACAACTGTATTAACAAAGTCATAGCCATATGTAACTGTTTAGACTAGAGCTATAGCCTAATTGTCATTTGTAAATAATAGAAATTATTTATTTATTTACTTTTATATTTTAATAAAGTTCAATTTTGACCCCTATAGTAGTTTTTTTTTTTTTTTTTACTTCCATAATATTTGAGTAAGGGGTCCACAACAATACAATCCTGCTTAGGGCACCCATTTGGCCAGCAGTGGCCCTAAACGTAAGTTACCGTTCGAACGACGTTCGCTACAATTAATCGTCTTTCCAACGTTACTAACCACGTTAAAAGGTATTTTCAGACTCTTAATGGTAATATAGCCTATTATATTTCTACAGTTCGTAAAGGTTTATTCATGTTAGTTGTT